CTCAGTGTCATTCCCAGGTGTTTGTGATCCTTTGCTCTCTCCACAGATTCTTGATCTTTATGTTAGAAATCTGGCTGGGCCACTTCAGTTAAAAATATTTCAAGTCAGAAGCTCCTACCCCCGCGACCCGACCCTGGATAAAGCGAAATAAAATGGATGGATGTATGGACGAAAAATGCATGGTGGCACAGTTGTCTTGCAGGGAAAGGGCCTGAGTTCAAGGGCATAGTGAAGATTAAGATTACACAAGTGTATGCAATAAATACAGACAACTCTCTTCAATATGTGAGTTTATGAACAAAAACAAACAATGCAAATACTTAACATTTATCCATTGACAAACAACTGTTTTATTTTATTTTAATTTTTCAATTTGTGCCCAGGGCAAAGATTAATAGCCTAATACTCATGACAAACTGTCCCAAGGCAAACAGGTCTGACTTTAAAATGTAGCATTTTTTGTTGTGTTTTTAAACACAACTGCAAAACTCATTTAGGACTTGGACAACTGACATTTATTAGTAAAAGCTCTGCCTCCATTCAGATGTTATTTTGAAGTTAATTAAGACTAATGAAGCCAACAGGGTTAAAGCTAAAGCTGAGATAGTAAGCCATTTATTCAACCATCCCATGAAGAACAACACTTGTATTATTTATTCACTTGTTTTCACAATTTTAACTTTAATACAGCGAAAAGCAAACATGTTATGTAATAACTTCTGATATCGCAAATGGCAGAAATGATAAAAAGTTATTTTAGAAAAGGAAAGGGAAAATAAATGGAGGACAGGGAGTGACATGGACACAAGAAGAGTGTTTGATCTAAAAAAAGATACAAATGGCAATTTTAAGCTGCTAAGCAGTGAGAAATACTGTGGACACAAAGGTGAGCAGTGAAAAAACTGCATGAGAACGGAAGAGGAAATGAGACATTGATGGAGACAGACAGGAGGTAGAACTGTTACAAGACGCACAGGCAGGATGCCAATATGATGTCTTCATCTACTTGTCAATGTCATGTCAAGCGTATGGCTTCAAATGACCAGTATAGGCAGGGGGCAGGTGAAACCTCATCCAGAGTATCAATCTCCTCCTTTGCCCTTCTAACCATCTACATGTTCTTCCAACATTTATCATCCAGCAGCTGCTCTCTATGGCCTCCCTATTCTCTCTTTCTTTTGTACTTGCCATTTCAAAATATTTTTCAAATTGGTGTCTATTGTTATCACAGCACAGCCAAGTTTAAAAGAAAAAAAAATGAAGTGCTGTGTTGCACAAAATCTGGTATTGTAAGTCATGCATTTTCTGTGGCATATCATCAGAAACCCAGTAGAATATGAGACGATTTATTTCTATGAACTGCTGCTATATGCTTTTACTTCAATTCGATCACTGAAGTGGGACCACTGAGAAAAGTTTTCCTCAGCACATGCAAAACATTCTAAACAAGGCTGAAGTCTATATTTTCTGATGGCATCACTTGTAACATGAAGGGCTTTGTGCTTCTTCAAAATGTCTCTTACAGTTTGAGTCAAATGAATCTTGGCGTTATCTTGAAATATCTCCATCATATCTGAGAAGAACATTTTTTTAAAAAGGCAAATCTTGGAGGATGCCATTTGACTGTACCTTCTGTGCAGGTAATGTTGCTCACTCTGAAACTGATCAGTGATCGCAATAGACAGTTTATTTTTGTAGTTGCAAACAAGCAGTCTCAACAAAAATAGAAAGTTTATTCTTCTTTATTCCATGTCTTAATATTGAGAGGTTGTATTATAAGATAAATAAAAAATGTTGATCCTACAAGAACATTTATAAGATATAACACTTCTGAGTCACATACCTGTTTGATATGCCTTGCCACCGTTACTCTCTCTCAGTCAGTCAGTCACTGCTTTCCTTTTTGTAATTTCTAATGGATAATGGAGCTTTGTACGTCAAGACTTAACATCCAATCTGTCCCTTAATCCATCTGCATTAAAGACCCCTTTAAACACTTCTGGCCTTCTTGGTTTTCCTCTCGACCAAGGAAATTTTAAGACCTTACCAATGAAATTCTGACATAAATTAGAATTTAATAAAATTAGGTATCCTACTCCTCTGTTTTTGCTTGGCCTCCTTCAGCTAAAAGACATAAATATTCTGGAAATTATTTCTCCGAGTGTTGACTGCCATTTACTATGATTATGCTCTGCACCTGCTTCTGCTGTCTCTACAGCCAATTCCAAAACAGAATCTATTGATCTTTTTCTTGTTCCTAGTGTGTATCATGACCTTGCTCTTGTAATTTCTAAACATTTTGTATTGTCTTTCGGCTCCACACAGGCCATATGATTGTGCCATCAATCTTCCGCCTGGGGCACCCTTACCTCACAGTCAGCTCTAAAATCTCTCCAAACTTGTAACAGGAGCCATGGAGAGGTATATTAAAGAGACTTGGCAGAAACCTTTATTTGGTTTTCTTCTCCTTTGTAAACTCTACACTGCACTCAGAGATTTTAATTTAGGGGGATAACCTTCTCAGCTATATATATGTTCCCTCCATTACTAATCAACTCCAATTCAAACTTTGAATTTTTGCAATATTAGAGCTTTTCTTTACTAAAGAACTGTGTCAACTGCTGTTGTTATCTACATCAGTTTCTCCTGCATACAGCTTAACAGAGTCATACAAATGTAGACTACATAGTGTTATAGATTCAATTGAATATTTTTCTCCTCATCTGATTTAGCAAGTTATTGAAAACCTTTTGTTTATCCATCTTGGCTTCTGAAGTCTTTTCATAGATATACTTTTTCCAACTATACCTCTAAATATTATTAAACATGAGACACAAAAACACACAATCAAATTTATTTGGTATATATCTCTACTATTCTTTTATGTGGTAGAACACACATGCATTTTTTTGGTGGTGTGTTCCATAGTATGCTGAAGGCACACATTTTCAATACTATATCACAAAAAAGGTTCTGTCACAACCCTGAACCCAAATCCCAACAAGTTTTAAACACCAAAGACCTATACCTATAAGGTATAACCAGAAAAGTCTGCAGTCACTGAACTTGACCCTTTGAAGAAAAATCATTTTGCTGTGTGCAGTTGAAGTGAAAATGTTTCCTGTACATCCAGGTAACTTTTATTCAATATTAAGTTAGATTTGTATGGTCCAGTCCTGCAAAAAATTCCAAGTTGAACTACTCTTCTACTTGAAGAAGATTCTCCTCTCATTACATAAAATAAAATGTGCAACATATTGCTTATAATGCTCATCCATCCATTAATCCATTTTCTGATCACCCTTCTCCCGAACGGGGTCGGGAGTTGCTGGTGCCTATCTCCAGCTGCGTTCCAGGCGAGAGGCAGGGAACACCCTGGACAGGTCACCAGTCTGTCGCAGCTTATAATGCTAATTATAAGGTAAATTTGTTCAAATATACCTTTGTTGAGTTGGACTACAGTTTGCCAATTTCCATTTAGAAGTCTGTACAAACAAAGGTCTCATGTAGGGATCATAAGGTCTCCATATTTCATTCATTATTTGTGTAATAAATTAGTGTATGCTGCAAAATACTATTCTATACATAAGTTGATTATGTGATCTGTGTTTTTGGCCCAACAAGGTTGGAGCTACAACCATCTTTAGTTGCAAGTATGCCATTCTATGAGGATTTTATTAATTTAACATAACTGTGAAACAGTCGTGCTGTTCACAGCAATTTTTGCAGCAATTTGTTATTGTGCATTTTTGAAAGTCCTGTGAAAGTCCCACAATGTTTTACAGTAGTTGTGCCACACAAAGTGTCAGTTTGTTTTTGCAGTCATTCTTTAAATATTGTCCTCAATATAAAAGGGAAAATGGGGATCCGTATTCCACTGGCACTAATATTGGCATGGTTGTAAACACAGCTGCCCTAAAGGAAATGTTCTTCTTATTCTTCAAGCTTCTGCTAAAGGATGGAAAGGATATCAATGGCATGCTTAAGAACACATTTGCATAGTGATCCTAATAATCTGATTTACCTCTGGCTGCTACTGTGTTTCTTTTTATAAAGTGGATATAAAACCCAAGTGTTTATTCTAACTCTCCCTTTGGGCCAGGTTTAGTCTTCATGGAATTCCAACAGACCCACTTGAGTACACTTGAAAAATAAAAAAAGCAAACATTTTTTTGTAAAACGCTTACACCGGTGTATGAAAAATAAAGCCTGTTATTGTACTCTGATTGTTTCTGGTATTTTTCTGAACTTTTTAGGATTGCTACAAGACAACAAAATACGGTTTCAGTGTATTACTCAGAAGTGCAATAAATTTCTGTTATTAATCTGACAGCATTAGAATAACATGTAATCATTGCAGATTAATTACGTGAAGATTCCTGGTTATATGATTTTCAAACTGAATGGAGTTTAAACAAAACTTATTAGATGATTCATTGTCGATGACAGTATAAAGTTACCTGTCAGGGTTTCCATTGGCAACAACCACAGAGGAAAGAGCTCTGCTTGGAAGTAGGTGATGGATGGAGAGAAAAAAAAGTGACATCAAAGAAAAACCATGTTATGGTAAACACACACACACACACACATACGCACACAGACAGACACATTTTTTTCCCTCCACAAAATGTGCATTCTTAAATTTTAAAATTTTACCTGCTTCAAAATCTGCACTGGGCTACCATTTTTGCAGTCGGTCTTACATCTGTCCTGTCATTCCCAACCAGAACACATCTTGTAAAACAGCTTGAGCTCATATTTCTACCATTAAAGCCTTTTCGATTATAACTTCAAGTAGGAATTTCACAATTGTGCTTTAGAAGGCTAAGGAATGGAGTCTTTGTAGATGTGGTGTATGGACAACAAAGCTCTGCTCTGCAGGAAAAAAAAAAAAAGATATTTCTAATAAGCAGTAAATTTACTCTGATGTTTTACTTTGCGATATTTATCATGGTTTTACAGACTATTGTAACCCGTGTGACCGACATGACCCAATCAGCTTCCCTTTAAGCCACCCCTTTAAGTTCATTGTCATGTGTGTTTCCGGGTTGGCTGCTGCTCACTGTTGGTTGTCGCGTCGGTTGTTGATAAAACAACTTGAATTTTCTAAATCGACTCGTCACTCTTTCAATCTCTAAGCTGTGAAGATTCGCGGTGAGTTGATAAATACCATCTGACTTGACGTTGTATTGTATCTGCAATCATAGCGCCGCTAATATTTCCCTCCCATTGCAATATTTGCCAGGTTGTGATTCATTAACACCTGGTATACCTTCCTGATTTGAACAAGGTACCATGGCATCCACCTACTCTGACAATCCGTTACTCGACGGTGAGTAAATATCAGTTCTATATAGTAGGGCGTTATTTTTGCTACGCTCCGCCAGTTAGCATTAGCTACCAACTCGACAATCAGTGACCGCATCAGTTTAATCTACTTATGAATTACTTACTAAATGAAAAGTCACATTGTTGCAGCCGAATTAAAGACCACACCTTCAATACTTAAGGGCTTCCCCTTCAACTTTAGATTTGACTATTTTTCATGATTTCTTTGTTGGTGTTGCTTTCTATGCTGGTGCAGCAATGAAGTTTGGTATCCAACATGATTTTGTTTGTAGCTACTTTGATCAATCACATTTTTAAATTGACTGATTTGATTCAGTATTAGTTGTTGTTTGTAACGACTGCTAATTATGTCAATTAAGCAATTTTGAACTTGAATTATGAAGTGCACTTTTTAAAAGGATTTTTTCCTTATTATGAAGTCCTCAAAACATAGCAAGTATGTATTTAATTGTTTTTTACTTGTATAAATATAGAATTTACATATTATCTTAATGTGCGTTTACTGGCCTTTTAGGTCAGGTTTTTTCTTCTGGTCCCCTTCATTGACACACTTGATGACGGAAGATGGCGAGCTACCCACCCACCATCTGGTGGTAGGAGAACAGAACTACACCTTCCATATAGGAACTAAACAGACTAAGGAGTATTAAAAAGGAAAAATAACTATTCTCCCTTCATTTTTGGACCTCTTGTGGACTCTGTTAGGTTTTGAAGTGTCAATGATTATTATTATAATTGTTGGTTTGTTTTCTCTTTTCCTGTTTCTTTTGAGAACTTTATTTTTTTGTTGTTGTTTTGGTATTATCATTATTATCATTATTATTATTATTATTATTATTATTATTATTATATGCCAAATTGTGTTTTTAAAGCAAAAGTTACAAAAGGCCTCCATGTCAGCACCATGTTGAATAGTTGTATTGAAAGGATGCGTTAACTGTAGCTATGATTGTTTCACTATTGAGGCTATGCCAACAATCAACCTATTACACTGTTAAAAAACATATATTCTTCCAAGTATAAAGTCACAGCATAAAACTTAAACACAGTAAGTGTCCAATAAGTGTAGCTGATATTATTTTTGGAAGAAAAACGGTCTCGTCTCTTAAACATGAGAAGCAAATTATTCAAATGAAATGACTTCCCAATTGAATCTGTCTGGTATTCAGTGGAAATAGACTATTTCCACAAAAAGGACACAAAGAAAGTCAACCGTTAAAAGTAATAAAGTCTTGTCCTGTTTGTGTTTTCAGTATCTTGAGAAATGTTAAACTGTCAGGTTATTGTCATGTACATAACACAGCAATGATAAGTCATTGCTAAACATTTTCCACCTTTGGTGTGGTAAAAACCTGTGCAAACCTTAAAATAACAATCACACATTTTGACTCAATTTCTACATTTCATCTTCTTTGGTTATAGTCCGCGAGCATCCTGCATCAGAACTTGTCAATATTTTCCTACTCTGTCTTGTAACTGCTTTCCAAATCTATGAGATTGTGAAGATATTGCCCACAGCATTCTTCAAAGACAAAGTTATTTCGGCAATGTTCAGTACTTTTCTGTGTCAAACCTAGTTTTTGAAGTTGTGGTATAAAAGTTCAAGTTTGGACTCAACAGAGAATTGCAAAAGATTTTAGAAAACTTAGCCAGAAAATGTTTTTATTTCAGAAACCATTGCTGTGTTTGCCCTCATATCTAATCTATGTCGAAGATTAGACAAAGGAAAAAATACAAAACAATGTGAGATGTAGAAGATAACCAGTACTAACAGAAATTTAATTTAGGGATTATCAGAAAAATTCAAAATATTTCCAATTTTACACCTTATGGCATGCATTAGTGTAAATGCATAGGAAATCCAGAAACACTTGGCAAATTGTGCATGTTGCAGCTGATGTCATTCTCCTACATATGTCAGTGTGTTCAGTCCAGTGGCCAAAGTATCAGCTCTGCAGTTTGGGCTGGGCAGCGGGCATTGTGCCCTTTATGCTGATGGCAGATGGAGCCAGAGGAGATGTTAGCCTATTAGAAGAAACAGGGAGGGGAAGAACTTGTGAGAATAGGGGAATAAAGATGAGCAAGGGGGTAGGAGGAAAAAGAATGAGAGGCCATAACTGATGAAGAGAAAGAAAGATGAGGACAAAAGTTACTGAATCTAGATACAAAATTAGATCCGAACAAACTGTGAGGGTACATAAAGCAAAAGAATGGTTTGTTAAAATTTAATCATATCTTAAATATAGTTTTAAAATCATCACATCTAATGTGCATTATATTCAAAAACAGGAACAAGCTCTGGTTTGCAGCTGCAGCCATCTCTGCAGTTGACTGATTATTCTGCTGTCATGCTTTGCCTCCCGCTGCCAGGCGAATGGAATGACTGAAAATAATTACTTTCTGTTTAGTCTAATAAGCAAAAACTTAATACAGATTGAGGCAGAGTCAAGTAATGTGGACCTCAAGCAAGGACACAAACAAGCATGTTAACCAAGACAGCTGGATTTGGATGTTTTGAATAATAAAAAGGTTGGGCCAGTTTCCAAGGAATCAGGCCTTTATGACAGCTCTGCAGTTGCAGCACAATTTTTAGTGTACTGGTACTGAAGACAAAACAATATACCCGGTACGACTTTCTTTAAACACATCTAAGATTAATACTGTGAGTCAGCTGTTTTAAATGAGAGGAACTACTACAGTGCAAATATAAAATTACACTTCAATTCAACAGTACCTTCCACAATTATTAACACCTTTTAAATCAGTTAATCATTGAACAAAATTTTGACTGAAATTACTAGAAAAAAAATCACAAATGGATATTTATTTCTTCAGCCTCCAAATAATGGTCAACAGGAACAGGAAAGTTTCCTGTATAAATGAAAGCTGCTATATGTGTCTTGCTAAATGTCCTGTAACTGTGGACATCTAAGGGAAGTAGAAGTGTCTCAATTTGAAGGCGCCTACCACTAAGTCCTGTAATTTACTATCAGCCTAATCTCAGTCAAGAGTCACCCCACAGGCCACAGTTAAAACTTTCCCAACTGAAGAAAAATGTTAAAATAGGATTTATTCTTGAATTGATCATTTTTTCTTCTTCGGATCACCTTTTATGAAAGGTGATCTAAGTAACTGATGTATTTTAAATAAAACATAGGAAATTCACCGTAGAATAAATCATAGTATTGCCTCAATGAAGCAGCTTGGTGACAATTTATTTTAGTGAAATCATATGAAATACAAAGATTAAAAAACATCAGAGAGAACCCTTATGTTCACAAAACAAAAAAACCTTTCTTCCATTGTCATTCCACACTACAATAACTTTACGTGTTGGTACTGTTCTTTTTTTCTTTGTTTGCCATTCCCAGGCTTACTCTTCTATGTTACAAGCCCTTTGGTCTTTCTTTACAAATGGACCATGTACATTCACATTGTCTCCACTCACTGTTTCAGTCCAGATCAGTGTCTTGGTGCCATGGCCTTTTTACTCTCAATGCCTCTCTAACCTGCCACAGCTCACCTAGTCAGGGGAGAAAGCCACTGAACACTCTTGCCTCAAGCTTAGGTCATCACCCACTGCTTCAGCTAGAATAAATGTCACATAACAATAGCCACTATTTCCACATAGGAAGTATATTGTCAGTGAAGATGAGTTTCTTTTTCAAAAAGAAACCTTGCTTCTCAGAGCCACTTATTTAAATCAGTCTTAGAGAACAAATTGTTATGAAAGGCTTCAATGAGCAGGATTGTTAAATGCCACTTGGAAAAAGTAAAACACAGAGCCAAGTCTTAAAAAGGAATTTCAAATAGTAATTTCTGGTGCACCAGTTAGTGTTGATAAAGTTACCAGTCATTTTAAAATGGACATCAGGAAAATGAACATGCTGTTTTCCTGCTGATTTGAACTTTACATTAGTCAACACTTAGTCAATCCTTTGCTGCTTTATTCTTCTTTGTTGAATTAAATGGTTCTGGATTTTATTTGCAGTTGTGACAGTTTTGTGTAACTTAATATTGTTTGTTTTTATAATTCCCACTGTAACCCCTGCTGTATGTGATTGGTTGCACTTTGACAACTAAGATCTATTGGAATATATGTAGGTCTGAATTGAAATGACTTGTTTGTAAAATGCCTTGAGACAACATGTTTGTTGTGAATTGGTGTTGTACAAATGAGCACAATTGAACTTAATTTGATGAAATACTATAAACACAGCAAGAAGGATTTTGTCATTCAGCCATTCAGTTTCCAGATTGCTCTCTTGGAAAGACAAAATGAAGTCAATTCCTGTAAGACATTTTTGCAAAACAACGACCACATCATTGGACTTTTGGATAATCTTACACTGTTGTTATGTGAGTCATAATGAAAATAATCCTATCAGTGCAGTGTTGTTACCACTTTATCTGTTAATCTTTCCATTTATTAGTTATATCATAACATTCTGTCATACATGCTCAGAAATTGTTAGGGAACTAATTAGATGGCTTCTGTAGAGGGGAAGAACCTGCTGTATAGCTTGTAGTTAGGTTTAATTTCAGGTGAGTTTTCATGTGATTCACTCTGCTGATGGTGTGGGCTTATCACTGCCCTTTGTCTGCAAGGCACAGCTTTGATGGGGGGATGTTTAAAATCTGGTAAACCAGTTTGTCACCTGGTACCTCAAGTCCCTTGCCGACCTCAAGGTCATCAAGCTTGGCATGTCTTATCGAAAAGCTGGAAGGGAGTGTGTGAGATGCATCCCTGAACAGTTGTGATGGTCAGCCATAGAGTAGCAGACGACAGACCATCTTTTTGCTGGCAGCAGGTTTTAATCTTGTCTCAGAGAAAAATTAACATCTTCCTTGAAAATGGCTGACATCAGAACCCTATCAGCTGTTGAGAAAAACAGGCATATTAAAAAGCAACTTTTTTTACATTTTTGCTTTGGTCAGACACTGTTTATTGTTCAATAATGGGCTTATGGGCAAGCTTAGAAAGGGATTGACAGCCTGATCTTCTTCCTGATCGTGATGTGATATGCATCACCAACAAAATTTCTCATGACATCATGAATGGAATGGAAGCACTAACTTTAGCCTTCACCAGTCCTGACCAGTCACCTAATCCCAACTGTGTATGCCATGTTTTGTCATCATCTCTATGTCTATGCCAGTTTTTCATATATATATATTTTTATCTGTGAACTAAAGGATTTTAGAGACGGGCTGCACAGTGCTACAAACTATAGCACTTCTTGTTGTCTTGCAGCAAGAAGGTCCTGGGTTTGATTCCCGGCCTGGGTCTTTCTGCACAGAGTTTGCATGTTCTCCAAGTTCTCTCCGAGTACTTCGACTTGCCTCCCACAGTCCAAAAAAACTTGGCTGTCAGGTTAATTGGTCTTTCTAAAATCTCCCTAGGTGAGTGTGTGTGCATGGTTGTGTGTACTATCTGTCTCTGTGTTGCCCTGCAACAGACTGGCGACCTGTCCAGAGCGTACTCCGTCTCTCGCCCGGAACATTAGCTGGAGATCGGCACCAGCACCCCTCCCGACCCCACTAGGGACAAGGGTGTAAGAAAATGATGGATGGATTTTAGAAAGCTTATTGAAGTGATCTTATGATATGCTTCTGCATGTGTGTATTTGAGGTGGTGGGAGACTACATGTCATTCAGTTTTGTATTATGCAGATAA